GCAGTGCTTGCGACGTGTGTCCCATGGCCGTTGTCATCCAAAGGAGTGTGTATGCGCCCATGCCTGCAGGGTGGATACAGAAACTTTGATCACTGTGGGGGGAGATCGCAAGTATAAGTTTATTATATTATTTACCTGAATATTAATGACACCAAATATACATTTGTATGTACAAACTAAATATAGTCAACAGAAGTGGCTTATGTACAATCCTTAGGGGTCAGTGGAGTCATTTAACCCCACTACTCCCATGCTACGTACGTACATTCTCCCCCCTGCGTACCTGAATCCAATGGCACCGATTAACTTGTTGTTGCACACGCGACCGCCGCCCCAGTAACACGCCCCTTTCCATTTTGGCGGGGGTTGTGGCATCCCTTTGCCATTGAAAGAAGGGTGGTTAGGTTTGATTCCCGAGTCGATTACACCTATTATTTTCCCGTGTCCAAGGTTGTAATTTGACCAGAAACCTTGACCGAACCCTCCCTTTAGCCCTAAGAACTCGGGTGTGTAGGTCGTCAGCGCCTCGTGGATGGTCTCCACGTATGCCGCGACGAACCCATCCATGGATCTCATTACCTCCACTTCTTCATGAGTTAGTCTTGCGGCAAAGCCGCTGATCACGTGTCGGTAAGCATAGAGCATCCGTGGGTCGTCTGAGGCCAGGGTTTTGTTGGGTAAGAAGGACGTATACCAGTTTTTACGGTCGCCAAACCGGAGAAATTTTGTGCCTTTGGGCTTTTTTACATGAACAATGAATGTCTGAACTTGTGTACTGTTGCCTGCTGGCTCGTTGACGATGGGTAGAAGCTGGCCATGAACCATGAGAAGGGTGGGGTAATCTAGAAAGAAGAGGTATAGACCAAGGAAAGTGATGGTGGCAATTAGCACCTCCATTGGTGCCGAAGCTAAAATGTTGAATGCAGGAGGAGAAAAGAACACCTCTTTATATCAGGTGGTCCTGGATGGCATTAATAATGTAGGGATGCACAGAACAAAGGCCACAACATCAATGAAGTGCTTAACCCATGTATTAATTATTGATGAAGGAAAGTGACCAGCATAAACCAAAAACGAGGAAAGATGAAGGAAAGCTATGAGAATTGATGTGTTCAAAATTATTGCTACATTATTGTTATGGGAAAAGTCGAAGGAATGCCTTGGATTAGCACAGAAGAGACACAAGGATCAGAGCTGCTTGATTATGAAACTTATAAATGGGATGGTGCTATGAGCTAGGAGGATTTCTTCGCATCCCACATCGGATTCCATCCGGTTTAAGATCTTTGTGGCAGCTTTAGATTAATTGATGCGTTTGCGATAAATTTATTTCTGATAAAGGAAACATGGCTCGTGTAAATATCTAGATGTTAGGATTGGATTATCTGAACTATGATTTAAGATGTGCTATTTATGGAGTGAATAGGAAGGGGAAGGAAGTAAGCTCATACTGGAGCAGTGAAGGTTAGCACTATATAGTGCAAGCTAGCTTATAATCCCTGTTCAAAGTTTTTCATTGCACAGGTTTGTCTTGAATTCATGTTCACTTACGTGTTTAGACTAGGAATCCAGAGTTTTTTAAATTTGGAATCGAGCTTCTTATGGTTGAGATTCCTTTTGGTAACAATAATAGGAGAATGAGTTGGAGTGAGCTTTTCTTTGTAAATAGTTTTGAGGGTAGTAGAGAACTTTGATTGATAGAAATGAGTAACAAAATACGCCCCCCAAATTGAAATTCTTTGATAACGGTTCTGAAACAGCGAACAACTTTTTGACTTCGAAGGCTCTCTTGTACTCTCATACTCTTTTTTCTTCTGTTTTTCTGTCTTCTTTTCTTATTTCAGCAGAGAAGGCTCTCTTGTACTCTCATACTCTTTTTTCTTCTGTTTTTCTGTCTTCTTTTCTTATTTCAGCAGAATGGTAAGGGTATAAGCCATTCAGATTGATGAATAAAACTATATGCAAGTATCATTGCTAGTACAATTTAGTTCCAGAAGGTGAATAGATAATTTATTAATGATAGAAGATGATTAGAAGCCATAAATTGTAAACACGAAAACGAAATGTGTCACTCATACGAGCTGACGGACTTGACAGTTCAATGACGTCTGACACAAAATAAACGACTCTTTGCGTGTTTTTCTTAATAAATGTATATTTTAATAGACAAATATATGTTCGGAGCATTATACATGAAAGAAAAAAGAAATTAATAGAATGATCAATAACAAGGAGTACAATGATTATATGTGTAGATATGTATGAGTCTATGTGCATGTTTGTTGCACTTGCGTTATAGATTGGTGACTTTTGTGATTTTATTTCTGCATTCTACTAGGTAGATTAGAAGGTAAGGGCAGCTGATTTCATTTTTTTTCTAGATCTTTGTGTTGGATAACAGTATTCCTATTCCTAATCTATTTTGGTAACATGGGGTTATTAGGATTCCTAATCTATTTTGGTAACATGAGGTTATTAGGATTCCTAATTTGTTTTGTTTTTGGTTTTAGGATTCCTAATCTGTTTTGGTTTTAGTTTTTCTATATATATATTATATGGAGATTAGAATCAATCATCAAAAGAGAGGAGAGTTGTAATCAGAGATTAGAGAGACTTTTGAGTCGTGAGAGGGAGATATTGTGAGCAAGTTGAGAGTTTTGGTTGAGGATTAGTTTGTGAGTTTTGTAAGATTGTAACACTTTGTACTCTCCTTGATTTAGTGGAATCTCTGCATCCTCTCCCCGTGGACGTAGGCTATTTGCCGAACCACGTAAAATTGGTTGTCTCGCTATTTGTGTGATTTGTAATAGCTTATTTAGGTTCCCTCGACAGGTCAATCCTAGAACTGATGAGAGGAAGAGATTTGTAATAGCTTATTTAGGTTCCCTCGACAGGTCAATCCTAGAACTGATGAGAGGAAGAGCTGATATATCATTTTGTTGAGATATTTTGCTTAAGGTTCTTGTTTTCTTTGTGAAATAGGAATTCCTATTACGACATGACTATGGGGGGAGATCGCAAGTATAAGTTTATTATATTTTTTACCTGAATATTAATGACACCAAATATACATTTGTATGTACAAACTAAATATAGTGAACAGAAGTGGCTTATAAAAATTATTTTTAACTGATGTGGGGGCCGGGGGGGGGGGGGTTTTTTTTTTTTAAAGGGGGTATTTTTATTTTTAAAACAATCCTTAGGGGTCAGTGGAGTCATTTAACCCCACTACTCCCATGCTACGTACATTCTCCCCTGCGTACCTGAATCCAATGGCACCGATTAACTTATTGTTGCACACGCGACCGCCGCCCCAGTAACACGCCCCTTTCCATTTTGGCGGGGGTCGTGGCATCCCTTTGCCATTGAAAGAAGGGTGGTTAGGTTTGATTCCTGAGTCGATCACACCTATTATTTTCCCGTGTCCAAGATTGTAATTTGACCAGAAACCTTGACCGAACCCTCCCTTTAGCCCTAAGAACTCGGGTGTGTAGGTCGTCAGCGCCTCGTGGATGGTCTCCACGTATGCCGTGACGAACCCATCCACGGATCTCATTACCTCCACTTCTTCATGAGTTAGTCTTGCGGCAAAGCCGCTGATCACGTGTCGGTAAGCATAGAGCATCCGTGGCTCGTCTGAGGCCAGGGTTTTGTTGGGTAAGAAGGACGTATACCAGTTTTTACGGTCGCCAAACCGGAGAAATTTTGTGCCTTTGGGCTTTTTTACGTGAACAATGAATGTCTGAACTTGTGTACTGTTGCCTGCTGGCTCGTTGACGATGGGTAGAAGCTGGCCATGAACCATGAGAAGGGTGGGGTAATCTAGAAAGAAGAGGCATAGACCAAGGAAAGTGATGATGGCAATTAGCACCTCCATTGGTGCAGAAGCTAAAATGTTGATTGCCGAGGAGAAAAGAACCCCTCTTTATATCAGGTGGTCCTGGATGGCATTAATAATGTAGGGATGCACAGAACAAAGGCCACAACATCAATGAAGTGCTTAACCCATGTATTAATTATTGATGAAGGAAAGTGACCAGCATAAACCAAAAACGAGGAAAGATGAAGGAAAGGTATGAGAATTGATGTGTTCAAAATTATTGCTACATTATTGTTATGGGACAAGTCGAAGGAATGCCTTGGATTAGCACAGAAGAGACACAAGGATCAGAGCTGCTTGATTATGAAACTTATAAATGGGATGGTGCTATGAGCTAGGAGGATTTCTTCGGATGCACATCGGATTCCATCCGGTTTAAGATCTTTGTGGCAGCTTTAGATTAATTGATGCGTTTGCGATAAATTTATTTCTGATAAAGGAAATATGGCTCGTGTAAATATCTAGATGTTAGGATTGGATTATCTGAACTATGATTTAAGATGTGCTATTTATGGAGTGAATAGGAAGGGGAAGGAAGTAAGCTCATACTGGAGCAGTGAAGGTTAGCACTATAGTGCAAGCTAGCCTATAATCCCTGTTCAAAGTTTTTCATTGCACAGGTTTGTCTTGAATTCATGTTCACTTACGTGTTTAGACTAGGAATCCAGAGAGTTTTTGGAATCGAGCTTCTTACGGTTGAGATTCCTTTTGGTAACAATAATAGGAGAATGAGTTGGAGTGAGCTTTTCTTTGTAAATAGTTTTGAGGGTAGTAGAGAACTTTGATTGATAGAAATGAGTAACAAAATACGCCCCCCAAATTGAAATTCTTTGATAACGGTTCTGAAACAGCGAACAATTTTTTTGACTTTGAAGGCTCTCTTGTACTCTCATACTCTTTTTTCTTCTGTTTTTCTGTCTTCTTTTCTTATTTCAGCAGAGAAGGCTCTCTTGTACTCTCATACTCTTTTTTCTTCTGTTTTTCTGTCTTCTTTTCTTATTTCAGCAGAATGGTAAGGGTATAAGCCATTCAGATTGATGAATAAAACTATATGCAAGTATCATTGCTAGTACAATTTAGTTCCAGAAGGTGAATAGATAATTTATTAATGATAGAAGATGATTAGAAGCCATAAATTGTAAACACGAAAACAAATGCGTCATTCATACGAGCTGACGGACTTGGCAGTTCAATGACATCTGACACAAAATAAACGACTCTTTGTGTATTTTTCTTAATAAATGTATATTTTAATAGACAAATATATGTTCGGAGCATTATACATGAAAGAACAAAGAAATTAATAGAATGATCAATAACAAGGGGTACAATGATTATATGTGTAGATATGTATGAGTCTATGTGCATGTTTGTTGCACTTGCGTTATAGATTGGTGACTTTTGTGATTTTATTTCTGCATTCTACTAGGTAGATTAGAAGGTAAGGGCAGCTGATTTTCATTTTCTTTCTAGATGTTAATTCGCAGCCCTTGGTCATCTTTAGAACTGAAATTTAAACTAAGATATGTTTGGTTATGATTTAAGTTGCAAAATGATGCTTGTTGATTTTTATAAAAGGAATATTGTGATCTGAATCAATTTTCAAGAACTATTCAAAAATCTAAGGTACTTCGGAGCCATGGAATTTAAGCTTTGCACAATGAATAGAAATTTAAATTTCATGATTTTGCTTCTACACTAATGATTTTTACCGTATTCAGAAGACTTTAAACAAATGAAAACATGCAAGCATACCGCAAGCCATGCTTATCAGATGATTAGTAACTGAATAATAAATGACTTTCAGTACAGAATTCATGAATGCTAAAAACATAGGACCACTTATTAAGGGACAATTATGTTAATACTTGGCACTCTCAGCTTTTTTATTGGTATGGTATATTGGTATCTTAAAATACGTGCTTGATTATCGTATCAAAAGAACTCTATGCACCATTATTGCAGAAAGATAATCATTCAGAAGGTTCTAACTTTTACTTTGTCCTCATACAAGTGCCTGGGAACTACAAGCAAACCTCATCAACTACTATGATATCCTAAAGTATATTTGCTTCTTGAAAGCAAGTTTACATTATTTATCGGATCAAAACTTCATCAAATGACAGGTACCTGTAGAAGCATAGTACTGACTGGGGATGTTATTTTTGTAGGTATTATCGGGTTATTATTATTGTTATTTACAAAAGAACAGGAGGAGAAGGAAAGACTGTTGCAGCAAGTTGCCTGATACGTTTCAGATGTTTCTGTGCAAATTATATCAGACGAGCTATGAAGAATAAAAAAGGTCATTTAATTGAATCATTGGAGGGCATCAGTCTCACTAAAATGTGAATTTAAGCTGTCATTTCCTTCTAAAAACAGGGAAAATAATTTCTTGACGTTGTACATAGAGTGTTTTACTTTTTTTTTCTTTGGGTTTTTTCATAGAAACCACATTTAAGATGTGACCATTCTACAAAAACTACATAAATGGTAAGTTGTGCCGGCGGTGCAAGTTAAGCCACCATACCTCCTCCAATCCTTGCTCATCCTGTAGGTTTGTTTCAATTTTCTTTGATCTCTGTTCTCAATTATATATTTTTGACGTTGCTAATTTTTATGATGTAATTTTTTATCCTTGGACAACTGAGGCAGTTGCTTGACTTGGGTTGTTATCGTTATTATCATGTATTAATATTCGCGTGCAGGCTATGCGTCTATGATATAAAACGTAGTCGGAAAGTATTGCCAAAAAATGTTCAAGGAAAAAAAAGATATGATTTTGAGTGTTTTTTTTTTCCTTTTAAGTTTACATCCATTTCTGTCATTAATATTATTTTTCCAAGTGAGGACATTCCTTTTTATTTTTTGGACAAATTTTGGAAATAGACCTTTTCCCAAAAAAAAATTACCAATTTCGATCTATTTGAAAAATATTTACTAAAAATCGACATAGTTTCAACCATGTCAGGAAAATTATGTCGATTTTTTCTAGCCTTGTTTTAATGATGTTTCTTTGGATTGGAGAAAATGATCACTAAGATTCCTTCTGAAACTAATATGAAATTGCTAGCTCATGTCTTCTCTGAAGCTTAAGTTTTCTATATGTCTTTTTGTTTTATTATATTTCATATACCACCAGGACTCATCTTATCTTCCATGAAAAGAAAGATAGATCGATTCATTTAAACAATTACTCTCAAGCCCATTATCATGATGTAAGATCTTTGGAGACTTGGAGTTATCTGACAGTTCAAACTGTTTATATTTTGATATCCATATGGCTTTGTGGATGGTGGTGATAGTATGTCCGAAAAAGATGTATTTGATCTTTTTAAACATCTTATCTTCTAATGTCAACCAGTAGTAGAACTGATTAGTTGTGATTTGTGAATAGAGGCATCTTTTGTTTCATTTATCCTCCCTTCACCATAAGGTATGTGAATAAATGGTTGGCAGATTATCTAATGGATGAATTATGCTATACAAGTTAAGGTATGCTATACAAGTTAAACTGTTATATGGTAGTTACAAATAACTTGTTTGAGTAAATATAATGTAGAGAAGGAAATAGATATGGCATTTAAGTTGGAAATTCCATCCTTCTTGGTAATGGAAAATCAAAGGTCAATGCTTAATTGATTATACTATTTATGAGGTTGGAGATGAGGACGATGAGTCATATGACTTATAAACATTTGCATTGTGGCAGTACCTATTATTTCCATATGACAGGTATGGCTATTATTTTCATCATCTTCTGTGACAAATTTATTATTAGTATTGTATCAATATCATACATCCTCGACATATGCATGTATTGTGTTACTGTTAAATTTGACTCATAGGGAAGGCAAAACAAGGTGAGAAACATCATGCTAGTTTGCCAGAAGCAAACATTTGAAAGATAACATTTATGAAAATCTTTAGAAAAAAAAGGAACTTGATGATTTTGGTGATTATGTGTGATCTTATTAAAATGTGAATATTTCTAATTTCTCATGCATTAATCTTTCTTCCCCATGATTAGTGCACTGTGAATTATTTCTTATCTTTAGCCTTGAGCGTTCATTTTTACTAACAACATGTGATTTTTGCACAATTATATCTCTTGATTCTTTAAGTATATTTGCCCAGAAGGCAAACACTTTAAATTTTCTAAGACGTGAAAAAGTATTCACTTTTCTGGGCAATCCCTGAAGGATCACTTTGATCTATGGAAACCAATAATCTTCCCTCAAATGCAACTGGCAGACTGAATCAGAACTTTTTGGATTTTAAATACATGACTAAATATGATTCAGCTCTGTACCAAATTATCTAGCAGCTAAAACTCTGTAAGCAGAACATTACAAACAATGACAATAATTTGATCGAAAAATTCTTTTCCCTATTCCACGCAAATAATATTGTACTCCAGCAGCAGTACATGACCAAGAATTGCACTTAGCATTCTGAATTGATTAGTAGTCGCAGAGAAACACAATTAATTGATGATTAGAAATCACAATGTCAGACTAGTTGGCTTACGAGTTGTGTTTGTAGTAAATGCTACAATTCAGAAAATTACTTATACGCGTGGACAAGGGGGAGGCTATGAACATAGTAGGAGATCTTATCTTGTAGCCATTTTTGGATTTTAAACCTTCGACTGAATACAATTCAACAAGTAACCTTGTACTCTTACAATAGTACAACTAAAAGCATTATGAACTAATCCTTGCATTAGTAGTTGTTAAAAACATAACCAGCTGTTGTGAGAAACCATAATGCAAGTTTATTTGGTTCAGTCGTAGTGCCTGAAGCACATGTCATAATTCAAATTAATATTCATAAGCTTGGACGAGGGGGAGGTAGTAGATCTTATTGAGGTGGTCAAGGTAAACTATTTGGTTTTTCTATATTTGGATTATATGCATTTGTTAGACAACTTTAATTTATCTTGATTTTTTGCTTTAAACTCTTATAAACCTATGTGGTTTTTATTCATATGTGTATATTTTAGAATTTGTCTGACCTAAAATACAACATGTTGTGATGAGTTTGAGATTTAGGGACCCAAATTCTTTTAAATTCCGGCATGAGCGATTGGGTCATCTTGGGCAAAATATGATTTGTCGGATTTTCTTAAATTAAATGGGGCATTCAAACCAAATCCGACCAACTGCATATCACAATTTTCCCCCTTTATCTAATACGTGGTGTAGAAGTGAAACATTTCCCATCTGCGTATTATTTATTTGCAGTCCATGTTTCTATATCACCACCATAGCGTACCTCTATGGGACCTCGGTGAAGGTACATACATTATTTATGAAACTCCGTCAATAATTTAGTACCTATGGCCCATGTTAGGGGATCAATTTATAATTTGGTACGCTGACTGCATTTTCATTGAAGATCAATTCTCGACATTAGGGGAAGATTAGTGCCCAAAATACAAAATAATGTCAAGAAATTCCATTGGTGAAAAAGATCTTCAATATTTATATCCACGTAATAGTCAAACTGAACCAGAAGTTCACATGATAATCTGCCAAGAAAAGAGTGACTAAGCCCCATATTCATGTTGAATATATCATTGATGATTTGGTATGCCAGAAGCATATTGTGCCAGAAGCATATAAAACATGTTAGTGTAAAAGATAAAAGTCCACGGTAAACTAAATTATATATAGAAAGACAGCCACTCCCATAACCTCCGAAAAAGGTTTGTCCTGAAGACGAAATCTCCAGTAAATTACACATGCACTTGATAATCATAATATTGGAGATGCGGAACGGCCAAATCCAATTGTTAAGGTAAATGACAAGAATTTGGTTAACATAAAATAAGAATTAAAGTGGCCACGAATTTGTGAAAAAGGTGAAATATATAATAAAAATATAAAAGTTGTCGACAACATAGTTGCCTCTACAGTTGCTCTTACTATCTCCGAAAATAATCTGGATCCAGAACCTAAGTCGGTAGTAGAGTGCTTGAAGCATTCGGACTAGGTGAGATGGAAAGTGGCAATTGAGGCTGAGCTGAACTCGCTAAAGTATTTTGAACTTGTAGTTCATATATCCCTGCAGGATATATATATGGGTCTTCGTAAGAAAAATAAATGAGAATTGTAAGGTGGTGAGATATAAAGCGAGATTCATAGCTCAATGGGTTCACGCAGAGACCCAACATCGATTTAGATGTAAAATATTCTCCTATTAGTGATTATATTACATTCCGCAAGTTAATATGGCAGAAACTATGAATTTATATATGCAGTATATGTACGTCATGACCATATTTTTATATGGGTCTTTTATATGAAAGTCCCTGATGGACTTAAAATTCCTGAATTAAGAGAAAACAAGAATCGCAACATGTATAGCATTAAATTATAAAGGTCGTTATACGACTTGAAATAGTCGGGTAGAATGTGGTATAACTGACTGAGCAAGTTCCTTCTGAAGAGGAGATATGTAAATAATGATGTCTGCCCTTGTGTGTTTATAAATAGCTTTTGTATTATATCGGTCTATATTGATGATATAAATGTTATTGGAATGCACAAGGAGCTTACAGAAGCTAGCTCATGCCTAAAGATGGAGTTTGAAATGAAAGACTTGGGAAAAACCAAGTTTTGTCTCGGCCTGCAGATCGAGCATTTTTCCAGAAGGAATTTTCCTACACCAGTCAACCTATGTGAAAAAGGTTTTGGAAAGATTTTATATGGATAAATCTCATCCACTTAGCACACCAATGGTCGTCCGGTCCCTCGAAGTGGATAAAGACCCATTTAGACCCAAAGAAGATAATGAAGAAATGTTAGGGCCAGAAGTTCCCTATCTGAGCACCATTGGAGCACTTCTTTATCTCGTAAATTGCACCAGGCCTGATATTGCATTTGCGGTGAACTTGCTAGTAAGGTATAGTGCTTATCCTATAAGGAGGCAATGGAATGTCGTTAAACATTTCCTTCGTTATCTTTAAGGTACAAAAGATCTTGGACTATTATATAAAAGAAACCAAGATATGACATTGGTGGACTATTAGGACGCTGGCTACATGTCTGATCCCCATAACGTCAGATCCCAGACTGATTATGTTTTTTTCTGTGGTGGTACTGTCATTTCTTAGAGGTCTGTTAAGCAGACCATGGTTACTACTTCGTCTAACCACTCAGAGATTACCACTTTATATGAGACCTCACGAGAATATGTATGATTAAGATCGTCGATACGACATATTTGTGGCTCGTGTGGTCTAGCGAAAGATGATATCCCCCCCACTGTCCTTTATGAGGACAATGTAGCTTGTGTTGCACAAATGAGCAGTGGATATGTAAAAGGAACCATGACAAAACATATTACGTCAAAATTCTTTTATCCACATGAGCTCCAAAAGAATGGCGAAATCACCATCGAAAAAGTTCGCTCAAGTGACAATCTTGCAGATTTGTTCACTAAGTCTCTGCCTACGT